CTCTCATTGATGAATTGGGCAGGGAGGGTGCATTGATTCAACACGGCGAGCACGAAGAGCTAGCAAGATTCAGGGAGATCACCGCTGCAATGGAAAGGGAGAAGTAGGCGGCTTCCCAGGAGATTTCACAATGGAAATCACTTGTGACTGTCCTTGAGGAAAAGCTTGCTGCTCTGAAACAACAGGCAGGTCATTCAGAAGCAGCAGCACTGCGGCGCCAACATCAACGGGCCCAATAAGCATCTCGTCGGCTATCAAGGGGATTGGTAGAATTCCGAAGGTACATCAAACAAGTTCTCCAACCAGTTCCCTTGCATTGCTTAGCCTGCAGCAGCATCATCGTACAGCTATCCTTTTGGTGAAAGAGGTCATCCAGGGTATGTGCTTCCAGATGCATAAGATCAATGAGGTAATTTATGACATTAAATTTCCGTCTCTTCCACCATCAATCAAGTACATCAGCATTAACTACAAAGTCCTCTCCCGAAATGAGTTCTTACAGCCCATATTTGTTGAATCTGACGACCGCTCAAGCGGAACATCAACTTCAAGTAGCAGTGCTCGGAGCAGCCTTACTCTTCTTAGGGTGACACATTTTGCTCAGAAACTGGCTACGGCACAACAACTTGCTAAGTACGTCTGCCACTATCTATCGCATGTTCAGAGCATTTGGCGTGGATGCATATCCTTCTGAGTGGCTAATGTTCTGGACGGCATACATTGGGCATCTTTCGTCCATAACGCTCCCTGAGGTGGATTGGAAACCTTGGAAGGCAGGTTTAGCCAAGGATTTCATGCTTTTCAAATGACGATATCGATCGGTTCATCAGGACTGGGGGCGAAGGACGTAACCAGTGGTGGATGGGACTCTGACGATATGAACCAGATACAGAAGCTGATTTGGGCTGTTCCACCTATCAACTTGTGATTGTTCAGTGGAGTTTTGTTTCTTTTTGTGATGGCGTTTGTAAATAACACACTGTCCACACAGACACAAAGTGTCATGTAAATATCCGTGTTCTAACTCAAGATCAATCAATCCTCTCCTGGGCAGCAAAAACCCAGTGGGTCAGGGTCGGGTATGGGCTTCAACCACTTCAGGTCCGGGTATTCCCTTCGAACCCGTCAGTGACCCGGCAGGTGCCCGGACAAACATGACTCAACACAAAGGGTTTAATGCCACTGAACCCTGGACCCGACCCGACCACCCAGGCCCACCAAACCTTACTGCATACTTGGTTCGGTTCATCAACAAGACTGACTCTTCTTTTATGTCCAGTCTTGGACGCTTTCCACGCTGATCCTGTTGCTGACCGCTATCCACATCTTCTCTGCCAAGTTCCAACAAAAGTTAGAGTGGGGGATCATTAACAAAAGATTGTTAAGCTGGTGAGCATGCCTCGTCTTGGCTGCCATCAATTGCAACATCAAGCAGAAGCTGTAAAATAGGAACAGGAACAGGAGGCAACCGTAGGTCAAGACGCAAACATTCTGAAACATGAGATCTAGAGAGAGTTGCAGTGCGGCAGCGACAACACTGCTTGTGGGGGTGATAAAACAAACGTCCAAGACAATACTGGAGAAGCCACAAGGTTGACAAAATAGGGAGGGAGGGAGGAGCAATTGCTAGTGCATGAGGTGGGCAGATGCAAGGAGAGCAAAGCTAGCAGCTATAGAACCATAGGCAAATGAGGCTAATTGGTGAAAGTGATTTGCGATAACATCAGAAGGTTTGGGAACTACAACATTTGCAGCAGGGAAGAGGAAGGAATTGTTGAAAGGAACAGGAGAACAACAAAATGCTTTCCCTGGGTAAGAAAGAATGACAACATAGAGTGAACAATATCAGGGGCATCATCATCTAACCAACGCTGAAACATCTGAAACTGCAGATATTGAAGCCGAAACTGAAGGTCAGGAAACTTAAGAAACAGCAACACCCCAGCAAATTGACGTGGAAATGAAAGGCGAAGAAATCTACACACAAACTTTGGTGAATAAAAGTCCGAACTGGTTTGCAAAGAGCAACAGCAGGAAGAATAACATATAAACCAAATTCAAGCGTAAGTTGAATAAAAGACAAAAACAAATGACGAACCACAACCAGAGAATGAGAACCAAATATCCTTGAAAAAGAAAGCAAAGCAAAAGAAGCTGCGCGCGCTTTGGCAAGTCGATGGGAAATAGTCAGTGAAACATCAAATCAGGTATCTCCAAAAAAGCAACCCAGATAACGAAATGAAGGCTTGACAGGCAGGGTTTGACCATGAAGAAGCAAGGTGAATTAGCAGGAATGGAATTCTTGTGAGAATTACAGACTTCAAAGGAGCAAAAGAAAAAACCGAGCTTGGGCAAACTGTTCACAAACAGAGAGAAGAGCCTGCATAGCATTGTGCAAACAAAGCCAAATCATCTGCAAATAAAAAATGAATTGTATTGCGGTTTGGCAGGATGAAAGAGTGTTATAGGAGGGCAAACGTTCGGAGGAGCCCAGGCAGAGGATCAAGAAAAGTGATATAGAGAAGTGGACTGAGAACAGAACATTGAAACAAACCTCAAACAACTCAAAAGCATCTGAAAAACAGTTTGCAACAACCACTCTGGAAGAACAAAAATCAAACAGAGCCTTCAAAACAAAAACAAATGGCAACGGTAGTCCCTAGAAAGAAGCTGAGCCCATAGTATTGCACGATTTGTGGTGTAATAAGCTGCTTGTTAGTGCCTCTGATGTTGGAGGAAGCAGAATCATAGCAGTTTCTCTGTACGACTTATGAATAGCTTCATCCTTTAACAGGCGGAGATTCCAAGAAGGCAGAGGATGAGGCACAGTGGCCTGAGGATCTGGGCCAGCTAAAGAAAATGAACAAGTCGCTGCCGTAGACTGGGGTTGATCATGCCCTAAATAAGAAGAAGCTGTCACATAAGTAGAAGCAAAAAACAAATCAATAATTGACCTCCCTAAGTGAGAACGAAAAGTTGGGGCGATGAGCTGAAGAAGAAGCTGGGACAACCAAAAAAAGAGAGTGAGCTGTGAAAAAAGGAAGAAGTGCTCTGGCACTGGCATTGGTAACACGATCACCGGTGCTCTGAGTTCTAAAATTGAAGTCACCATCAAAACTACTGGAGTATCCGAATTCAAAACAAATTGAGGAAAATCAGATAGTGCACCCAAACAATCTTCTGCAGTCCACCATCGGGGAAGATAAAATGCACCAATCACAACCTGGCGAAACCTAAAGCACAAAACAAACCCAGGAGGAACTGATGCAATCAACCTAAATTGATAAGTACTGCAACGATGCAGGTTAATAAGAGCAACACCAGATGCCAAAGGAGCGTCTGGCGGAGGACGAGAATCAAACAACAAATACTCTGAAGAAACACTGTATAAAGTTAACTGATGAGTTTCTCTTAAAACTAAAAAATCAAGATGATGAGTAACAAGCCAAGCAAGTAAGTCTGAAAAATCTAGAGGCAAACCTCTACAGTTGAAAGTTCCAGCACGAAAAGTCCACATTAATTATGAGTTGTAGGTTCAGACGCGAAGAACAGGTGAAAGAAACAGTAGCTTCAAAGTCTGCAGAGGGAAGATAGAACGAAGATAATGGAAACTGCAGGATCATGTGTAATTCGCAAAAGGTGAGCAAATCTTTTGTGAACAGCCTGTGATACAGCAGCTTGACGTTGCTCAAGTGATTGAACAGACCCAGAATGAAGCTGCCCAGGGTCAAAACATTAAGAGGCATCTCATCAAACAAACTATTCTTTTTGAACTTCATAATATGCATTTATTTTCCAACCAATACCTATCACCCGCTGGTGCAAAATCCAAATACAAGTGTAAAATACATGTAAATTGGCAGCACATTGGGAGTCGTGCGAGCCATAGGAAAAGTTAAAAGTTTCATAACACTAAGGCATATCCAAATCAACAAAAGCAGACAACATAGAATCAGGAGTGGGAGACAAAACTAGGTCATAACCAAGACAGTTTGACCAAATGCGGTTAAGTGCACAAAGAACAAGAACCCAATGGGAAAAGCAGGCGAGGATAAAAAGGCCGTGGTGAAAGCATATCAAATTGCAATGTCAAGAGGTAAGCGGGGATCATCAGGCGGACCCAAATCAAAACTACCAGACAAACTAGCACGCAAATGTAAACACACAGAGACATGGGCACGCGACACTTCAGGGGCATCATGACAGTTCCTACAGTAAGGTCAGGGGTTGGGAAACAGGCGGCCAAGCCGATATAGCAGGAACAAACAAAGACATACTCTTGGGAGATGTTGGTGTGGGGAAGCAACAAAGGGTTGATGAAGTTTCAAATTGCGGACAGGGGCAAACCAAACTGCAATTGGTCCATTATGCTTAACAGCTAAAGACTGAAAATGTAACATCAACGGATGAAGTGGGGGCATGATGGGCATAGGGACAATGAGATCATTGTTACACGCTGACACATAAGAAGATATACTATAAAGAAATAGAGGAGCCAAATTTTTTTTTTTGAACTTCATAAATATTTTTTTTTTGAACTTCATAATATCTATTTATTGCCCAACCAATAGATATCACCCGCTGGTGAAAAACTTTTTTTTTGAATGTTATAACATGTATTGACAATGCTTAATCAGTACATGTCACCCACGTGTACTTCAACCAAGATTTGGAATCTTCAGTACTTGGGGAGCCGTGTGAGCCGTAGGAAAGAGGAGCGAAGGGAAGGGCGAATCGAAGGAGGTGTGGCGCGGTACTTGCACGTGACACGATATTGCGAGATATATTTCGTAGGAATTTCGAATCCAGTTCCCTAGAGGATTCGAAGCGCGGAGTTTAGCTTCGAAAAGTCGCATTCGTACCGACTGAGCCACTATGAGGTTGTTTTTTTTTGAACTTTATAATATGTATTTATTGTCCAACCAATACATATCACCCGCTGGTGCAAAATCCAAATCCAAATACAAGTTTATAAATACACGTAAATTGGCAGCACGTGAGGACAGATGGCCGAGTTGGTCTAAGGCGCTACGTTCAGGTCGTAGTATCTCCGGATGCGAGGGTTCGAATCCCTCTCTGTCCACCTTTGCCTTGTTTTCCATTAGTACTTTCTTTTCGAGTTTGGGGGATTCTGATGAACATTTTGTGTCGGCAGAATGGGGCTGACTTTTCCGCAACAGACGATAGTAGCCTAATCGGTGATGGCCTAATTGCAAATGATTGAGCAACCAATAAACTATTTCTGCTTTCTATATTCCTTGATCAGCTTTGGTTTGAGTATCCCAATATAAATGAGTGCGCACACCCCGGCCGACGATGCCGCAGACAGCAAGCAGTATGAAATTACAACTGCAGGTTTGACAGCCTTCAGCAAGCTCGAAACAGTTGGAATATCGTCCTTTGTAACAGGTTTGAGGACAACCGGCTGAGGTTGTCCAGTGACGTCCTTAGGCTTGTCATTGCCTTCCACTCCGCTCCTCTCATCACTCCCACTACTGCCGCCGCCGTCCTCAGCTTTATTTGCGTTGCCGTCGTCTTTCGACGTGTCTGCTGCATGTTGACCAGTTGCAGCGAGAAGTTTCTGGTTCTGGAGGGCGACATCTTCATCGGCGATCAGATCGTAGTTGATACCGACAAACCATCTGAATAGGGTTGAATAGCCCCAATTTTAGTCGCGGCATAGACAGTTTGCATTGGTCGTTACCTCACGAGACCGTGAAGAACAAACTGGGAGCTATCCGTGAGCATCACAAAGTGATCCCGAAGCGCATACGTTGCCGACGCCATGAAGAACCCGTCGACAACTGTAGAACACTTAAGTGCCGAGATAAATTACAGGGAGTACGATTTACCGTGGAAAACAAAGTTGTGATGGTTCATCAGGTGAATGTGCGTATCCTCGACAGCTCCCCAAAGACTGAATGTCAGAGGATTGAAGTATATTGTTCCCTCATCGTTCGTAGTTGGGACCCTGCACCTCCAGGAAGCTTTCCCAACATGTCAGTCAACACAGCGTCACGACGAGCCTCCAACATAATACTATAAGGAATGCAGATGAAGGTATAAAAAGGTGATCGAGCGTTCTTACCTTTCATTTTTAGAACATCCGCGATGAACTTGTACCATGCTGGGTCCATTTGAATCGTACACTGGAACATCCCGTCAGTGGCAAACGGGAACGCGAGTGGCTCCCCAGTCTGTCGAGATACTCACTGGTTAGACAAGGACTGTGTTGAGTGAGGGATTCCAATCTTCTTGCCTCCATGCAGATTGGACCGGGTTCCCATTCTGTGGTGAGTGACCCGTCGGCATCTAGTTTTGGGCACTCGATCCGGACTATATCGCCCTTCTTGTATGGGGTGAGTTTTTGTGTGCTCTCGCCATGTGCGGATACGAGATTCAGCAAGCACAGCAACACTAGCAAGCAGTTGAGGAGCATCCTGGTGGACCCGAAGCCACAGCTTTTGGTCGCTAGTACCCAAATTTTCCCGAATTTGGAAACAGATGGAAAGAGTACTATTAATAAGAGGTTTGGAAATTGCAATGGGCCCAGTGGCAACGGTTTACATCAATGCGTACGGTCCACCCTTTTCCAACGCAACCGCCCATGTCGGTCTCGCCTGGACCTTCTCCAGCCATGCCCTGGTCTTCGGCCCGACAAAGGCTGGGACCCTCTTCAATGCCGCCTCAACGCTGAAACTCATCATCGCGTCGGCGCCAGTAAACGAATTCCCGCAAAAGAAATCGTTCTTCTCCAGATGCACCTCGACGAACGCAAGCTGTTTCTGCAGCGACGGGTGGATCAGGTTTGCCTTGATCCTGTTGAACACTGCATTGATGATCGGCGAGATAATGAATGGGACGTTCTCGAGGGTTTTTGAGAATATGACGAGGAAGGTGAGGTACGGCGCGAGGCTGCCCTCGCTGACGTGGAGCCAGTAGTTGAACTGGATGTTGCCGGCTGCGTCGTCGGCTGCGGGTTTGAACTTGTGCTCGGGGTCGTGGTAGTCGACGAGGTACTGGATGATCGCACCGGACTCTGCGATGGTGAGATCACCGTCTTGGATGACGGGCGATTTGCCGAGAGGGTGCACGGCGGTGAGGTCGGGAGGTGCTGTGCCGAGCGCGGTGCGTTTGTAGTGCTTGATCTCGTAGGCGACACCGAGTTCTTCGAGGAGGAAGAGGATGCGCTGGGAGCGCGAGTTGTTGAGGTGGTGGACAATCACGGTCATTATAGCCGAGAATGGGGAAGAATAACTTGCGACTGGAGGGGAAATGTCCGGCTTAAATGTTCACGAGCTGGAAATAAGCTTCAACGGACTGAATCCCACAGATGGCACGGCGAATCTAAAACCAGAAATGATCATCGGCCAGGGCCGTTTTCGGCCGTAGGAAAAGAGAGGCGGGCAGCCAATCATTTTGCGCGGTCCCACTCGGGCCCTCTGCTGGAAACAATTTGTAAAGGCTGTGAAAGTACCATGTAACCAGCTGGATAGACCAGGACTGCATCACCTTGCGCTTTTTTCACCGAGTATGATTTTCCGCTGCTGCACAAAGTTTAATTGTTGTGTCCGTTGTCCGTGTCCAATGTATTGTTTAGCTCCCAAACACACTCCCGCAACCCACCATCTCCCCCAAAGCAGGAAATAATGGCAGCCCAAATTGGGCTCGGGAATATCTTGGTAAATCGCCGTTGCGTGGTTGTACACCCCACCAAATCACCGTCCCCATCAAAACAAGTAATAACGAAAGAATGCGAAAAGGCGAAAATGTACGAATATGTCCGGGTTCTCTTCAATAACCTGTCACCCCTTCGACCCACCCACCGAGTGCACGATTAGTACACGCGGATGGCTAAAAACGAAAACAATACGCAATGAGTAATCAATTCATATCGTTTCGATCTCTCAACAAAACTCACGCTTGCCCATGGAGCTCTTGATGAACAACGACTTGACGTTCTGCCAGTTCTTCTTGAGCAGAGACACGAGGAAGTTGATGGCCAACATGATGTTCTGGACAAGCTGGTCCTCGGTCATCTCGATGTGGCCCACGGCGACACCCAAGCAGAGAACCTTCTTCAACTGGAACTTGATGGTTCCCTTGATTTCGTCCCACTTCTCCTGGAGGGAGTCGGAATGGGAGACAGGAGTAGGGAACTTACCAGCCTTGGAGAGACCGGGACCCAACAGACGAGGGATCTGCTTGATCAAAGCCTCAGAAGCCAAGAATGCATCGTACTTCTTAGCTGTTACATATGGATAAATACATCTAGAAATGTCGTGGCATCGAAAACTCACCGAGCTTCTTGATCAACTTCTTGTTCTTGTTGAGCTTCTTCAAGTCCTCAACAGACATGAACTCGAGACCGATCTGCTTAGCCTGGTCGATGTGGGCGGCATCAGCGAGAATGCACACGGTCATGCGGGGCTTAGGGATGTGGGGAAGACTGCGAAATCACACAGTTTAGCCAACACGTACACGAATGAACGACTGATGAGCCTACCGAACGGTACCCGAGAAACGCTTGTCACGCTGAGGGTCGTAGTTCTTAAGACCGATCTGGAGCTCGACGGTCTCGACGAATTTCCTGGGCTTCTCCTCCTTGGAGTAGGTAAGCAACTCACGGACATAACCACGCACGGCGGACGCTTGGACTTTGCTGCAAGAAGGAATCGCATAAGCAAGTCGCCAGCGAAGGGGCCATCATTCCACACAAACCTCATCTCTTTTTTTGATGGTCTTTTTTGACTGGACAGGAGATAAGCCCCAGGTTGGGTGGGAAGAAAAGGCAAGCCGCACTGCGCCTTCTGCACGTGATGGAAAGATTCCCACGTCAAAGTCGTGTAGGAATGTAAATAAAACTGCAAAATGAGATCCAGTATGGAGATGCAGACGAGACATGCTCAAGATGTGCTAAAAATCAGCATTTCATTTCAGACCTCTAGAATATTTTTCTTCCTTCAATTCCACGCATTCTGGCCACCGTTGCAAAACTTCAGAAACAAATGTGCTGGCGAAACACGTGTCTTCGCGTCTGGTCTAGTTCCGGGGCAGCACACACATTTGAAACATATTTAGGTGCCAATCAACTCAACATCCACAAATACTGTCGATAGCAAAGGTGCTACACAGCTCAATCCGGCATCCATCCACTCTCTGTTGACACACTACGCAACCAGCCATGGTATGTTCTCTCGCACTGGATCTCTTGTCGAAAACACCATGCTCACCTCTCGGATGGAACTCATCCAGTCCGCCCGCAAGCAAAAGAAGAAGCGAGCCGTCCGCCAGAACTCTAACGTCTTCGCCATGTTCGACCAGCAACAGATCGCCGAGTTCAAGGAGGCGTTCTCGATGATCGACCACGACTCCGACGGCTTCATCGACAAGGAAGACCTGAAGGACATGCTTGCATCGCTCGGACAGCAGCCTACCGACGCATACATTGACGAAATGATCAGCGAGGCTCCCGGGAGCATCAACTTTACAATGTTCTTGACACTGTTTGGAGAGAAACTGAGCGGTACGGACCCTGAGCATGAAATTCTGCAGGCCTTTGAGTGCTTTGATGATGGACGGACGGGGCTTATTAATGGGGAGACATTGAGGGAGTGCATGACGACGATGGGTGGAGATGGAGAACGGTTTACGGATGAAGAGGTAAGTTCTTTTAAAGGGAGATTAAGATGGCTTATTGAAGTTTTGTAGGTCGACATTATGTTCAAAGGTGCACCTCTGGATGCTCGTGGCAACTTCAACTACCGGGACTTCATCCGCGTTCTCAAGCATGGAGAGTAAACCAGTTTGGCTCCCACGACGGTTTTACAACTAATCATTTCGCTATTAACTTATCGTTTAAAGAATCAAATACCTGTTTTAAAAAGTGTGCCATTCATTATTGCCAAATCGAATCTGTCCCTCGGACTATCCCAAGCCCCTCCCTGGGTCCCACACCAACCAAGGTGAGCATTCCACCTCCAGTTGCAGCCGCAGAGCATGTAGAGCAGCAATCGGTGGTTCTGTCAATGCGCTCATGGAACACCCCCGATGACCTGCATGCAATTTGCACTGACTTCAAGA